TAAAATATTTTTATTAGTTTATGTTACTTTGGTCACTTAAATTTAAAAGGATGAAAATTCCCTGGCGGTCCAGTGGTTAGGACTTGGTGCTTTCACTGCCAGAGGCCCTGGTTTAGTCCCTGGTCAGGAAACTAAGATCCCACAAGCCATGCGGTGCAGCTAAAAATAAAGAAATAATAAATAAATTTAAAAGGACTGCTTCAGTCTTAAAATGGGCTGCTCAGAAATGGAACTAGGATTTAAACAAAAAAACAGTCAGAAGCATATGTTGGTGGATCCCATTCCCGGATCTGGCCCCTAGTATGGTCACTCAGGTGCCAGTAACAGGTTTATCCTCACTGGGGATTTGGAGGCACAAGGCTCTCGGAACCTGATGCCATCAAATATTTAAACCATCCAACTTCCCTTCTCTCACACTCTCAAAGCAGGCTTCACATCATAAATTGGCTTCCTGTGCACATTTTCCTACAGGGGAAGAATTTGCTGGACATGGCAATGTGAGCATTCTGGTCCCTTTAGCAGTTGCATTTCTCATCGTATATTAATCCACTGGTTCTTTGGCTCAGATAGCAAGCTAAGAGCTGAGTTACTATGATCTACTTCCCAACCCCCGCACCCCACCCCCAGCATATAGGCTCTCTCTTAATGCTGTTAAGGTGAAGTTTATGAGCTTGGACCAGGATGAATTCACAAAGGTAAATGTCACCTCTGAGGCCACTTGGCAGCTGGCTAGCCAGCTTGTCCTGATGACATTCCTGTCTCTTCAAGCACATCTCCTTCAGGCTCCTGTGCTTTCTAGCCACATTCATGTCAGCCAGCTGTCTCTTTCTTTATCCTTCATTCTGTCTTTTCCTCTATGACTGTCTCTCTAATTCTATTGCTCTCTCTTCCTATCTCACCACCCAACCTTCTTTTATCCTTTCCTTTCTTCTTTCTGTTTTTCACCTTAATTAACCATGGACTTGAATAATAAAATATACCAGAAATATGCACCAGGAACTGCGCTGGGCCATACATATGAATATATTTTGACCTCACAGTAACTTTGAAAAGTGTTTTTATCTCTATTTTACAGAGGATAAAGTAGAGGCTCATAAAAGGTAAGCAGATGTGTTTGATAATTTAAAGTTTTACTGCTTAATTTTCAAAGTCAATAACTTTAATGTTTTATATTTGCTTTATCTTAGGCAATAAAATTTGAACATTATTTTTGCCTGTGAGTCTATTGTCCTAGAAAAAAGATCACCTTAGCTCTGTTTATTTCTTTCTTAGGCTGGAGAGTGGGAGATGGAATGGAAGAGGAAAGAGACAAATTGGAGATGTTTCTTTGAGCAGCAGGGCTCCCCACTGCTTTTGGCACCCTTCCTCCCCTCTTTCTTGAGAGCAGGGCTTGGCCTTGATTTCTCTGGAGCAATCTTAGTCTTCTTCATGAAGGAGATGACCTTCTCTGTTCAGCCAGGACAAATGTACTTCCTGTTTCTGTGCAAAAGGAATAGATCAAATTTTCAGCCACCAGCTATGTAACTTTCAATAACTTGGAGATGGAGGTTGCAGTAAAGTTGGATCTGCTCCCTGGAAGACCACTTCTCTCTATTTGGATGTTGAACTAGACTTCTCAGCTCCAGCAGGTGTTTCCTCAGCATGCTGGAGGTAGTGAGGTAAAAGTAGAGAGAAGCATCCCTGCCATCATTACCTCATATGGGGTTTGAGAGGAGTAGAAGAGAAAACTGGAATTTTGGGGTTTTTTTAATGCTCAGAATTGAATTCAGTTTATTTTCTTTCTTTATCAGCTTTAGAATTATTTCAAGAAATTGTGTATTATCCAAAAACATCACTTCAACATTATATCCTAATAAAGCACACCACTGTGATTAACCAAAATTACCTATGACAACTTACATGGCCTAATTTTAGAGGATCCCCAATCTCTTCTCTTCCACCTTAGTCTCATTCTGGTCAGGTACTTGTAATATAGTTTTATTATCACATTTCAGTTGTGAAACAATGAAATTTCCAAACAAATATCCCACAGAACTACTATTTTTCTAATTAAAATGTTACACTACTATGGTTGCTTCTCACATACAATATTTACCCCATATTCAAGTTTCTGATAAATCAACTGTAAGTTGAAATTCTGTTTCTGAGGCATTTCCCGGTATACTACGCAGTGCATTTGAAAAGATATTATATTGCATTTAGTCTATAATAATTATCTTTTAAGCGTCTCTATATAATTAACAACCATTCAAAAAGAAAGTGCAAATGAGGGAGAACAAAAACTGGGTTCCAGGCACCTACACTCTTATTCCAGGGAATAAGGCTGATTGTCTCCTGGAGACTCGAATATTTGGATCTTGGTTATAGGCTGGAGGGGCAGGCAGAGAATCAGCGCAGCAGCAGAGAAGTCCCAGGTCCGGTTGAAAATGGAGGCTCCAGACCCTGGTAGGTTCAGCACCACGGACAGAAACAAGACTGCCGCTGGCCCTCGGGCTCATAATTAAGCACCAAGGTCAGAACCCCCTGCAGCCCCACCACCACCACCCCCAGCCCCGCGCTTGCTATTCCAGGGAGGAATCTAACCTGGTCCCTGGTTGACTGGCCCCTAGCACTTAAAGTTCGCAATAAACCACAGTTTAGTTTCCATCTAAAGCCCTCCAGAATTTCTACACTGAGGTGTCTATTCCGCAGCCTCCTGGTGAGAGTAGAGTTGCCTTGGAGCAACTCTTATTAAGATCCGGCTGATTTGCATATATCCGCATACACTGGGGCTTCTCCGTTCTGCTTTTATTATAAATGAATTGTTCAAACGAAGAAAGAGAAGGTTTATTTCACTCCTTCTTTTCCTCTTCTTTCCCTTATTCCTAGGGTCTCAATCTGGTGATTTCCCCGAGGTACCTGCAGGTAGGTGTGTGTTGTAGGAGAGGGTGGGAACCAGACCATCCTATGTGGTTTTCCCCAGATAATTCCCTCATCTGTTTGCCTTCTGAATGATCCTTGTGAGAATCATAGGGAGTCTGCATTTTGTTTTAGCAAATGGTCAGAACCTCTGGGCTGAAGTCCCTGGAGCTCAGGGACTGAAGAAACCATGGCTGGAGCCTTAGAGACTCCAAAGAGGAAGGGACCCCGTTTTGAAGAGAGGGATGAGGGGTGGTTGAGTGAGGACTCCTTTTGAAATGAAAGGAGTCCTGGGTCTCCAAGCAGCTTCTAAAAATACCGTCTCCCAGCGCTGGGGGAAGGGGGAGGGGAAAATCGAGCGTGCGGAGAATAAAGATGGGAAGGAGGTGGGAGTGTAAGAGCCCTTCTTCAGGTAGGTCTGATTTCAGAGCCTCCGCCTGCATTCAAGAGCCAGCAGGATGCCACATCTCCTTCTGCTTCCTCAGCGAGCTTCAGTCTTCTGCTGTGTCCGAGCCTCAGTTCCTCCTGATGACCTTTCTTTCTATGGGCAAAGGAGCTCAATTCCTCCCAGTCACTATTCCTATTGCTGCTGTCCAGCGACTATGTCTGTGAGCGAGCAAGTGTGCTTGTACACGTACCCCCCCCCACACACACACACAGAAGTGACATATGAAAGTGCCTTGTAAATGACCAGTGCTCCATGATGCCAGAAATTTTCACTCGATTTGGTGCTCAGAGAGGTATGGATTGTGGTAGAGACAGTGTGATTTACCCAGGTATCCTCAGCACAGAGCATGGCACCCAGTAACTGTTGGCTGAAGAGGGGTGGAATATATATATACAAGATGCACAGACATCCAGGCCATGCAGGACTCACATTCATTCTCAAGGTTTCTCTGGCTACTATAGCCTCTAGAGGAGAGGGGTTGCGTCCCCCAAGAAAAGAGCTCTGAAAAGCCACAGGGTGGGTGGAGCTTTCTCCGCTCAAGTTCAGTCCAGATGGTGGCGCTAGACAGCCGCCTCCCTCATCCTGGAGGGCCCCAGCCCTTCCCAGCATCAATGCCTTAAACCCTCAGCTAGCACGTAAATGACCTTCACTAGATAGAGGTCGTGCTCCACGTTTCCTTTCGCTTCTTCAGCGCTGGGTGAACTCTGCGAGGATTGCTCCTCCTCTCGCTGATGCCTGGGAGTCCGGCCGCTGCGCTCCTCGCCAGTCCCCTGGGGCGGGCGGAGGGGGATTATGGGGGGGGGGGTGGACTCCAGGCTCTTAGCAGGCTGGGGAAAGAGGTGGTTGTGGAGAGCGCTGCCTGTGTCCTGGCAGCAGGAGCAGGAACCTGAGGAACCGGTCGTTCATGCAAAATCTATCACCGCTCGTCCTGGCGTCCACATGGTTTCGCAGCCTCGGAAGAGCTGCTGGTAGGGTGGGACTCTGTCTGCCACTTTACTCTCCTTTCTCGAGTAGCTCTCGAGGTCGGGCTTGGCCTCTTCCTCCAGCCGCTGAGTGTGTGTGTGTGTGTGTGTGTGTGTGTGTGTGTGTGTGTGTGAAGAGGGCGGGGAGAAAGGGGGCGGGGTGGAGCCACGAGATAAGAGAAGCCGCAGACACTGGAAGAAACCGAGGGTTGGGAGATAGAGGAGCTTCCCAGAGCTTGGGGTCAGGATACCAGGCTTCAAAACCTCCTGCAAGTCCTAGGTACAAGGGGTCTTCCGGGTTAGCTCTGAGACTGCAAGTGTCGTTGCCTCCCAGAGGTTCGCTCCTCCTTAAGCCACGCCCACATCGCCTACTTCTCAGGAATGAGAGGCTAAGGTTCAGCGCTCTGGGCCACCAACGTCAGCTCATCCCCCTCCCCATGAGCCCAAATGGCTCTCAGCGCTGCCCCACCCCCACGGTTTGGAGACTGGCGGGACCCCTTCCTTCCCCCGCCTCCAATTCGCTGATCCGCCCCTGGCCTCTGAAACTCCACCCCTCCACCTTCTGCTGACGGGGATTGGTGGACTTCCCGCGGCAGTGCATAATGCTTGGTCCCCATGGATGATGGTCACCGGCGAGATCCCGCCCCCCGCCGGCGCTGGGGTCTGGGGGCACTGCTCAGCGGTGCTGGGGCTGGCGCGGCTCGAGCCGCCGCCGCACTGACAGCTCGGTCTGCGGACCATGGAGACTGGCGTCGGCCCACATCCGCTGCGCCTGTTCATCTGCCTGATGCCGCTCTGTCTCGCCTTGCTTTTGGGACCAGGGAGGCCCGGGACCGCCGAGGAAGGTGAGGAGACTGGCGGCTGTTCTTGGAGCCTGGGATGCCAAAATACAGGAGGCTGGAGAGCTGGGGTGCTGGGAGAAGGAGTCATATGGAGAGACTGGAGTCGGTATTGGGGTTTGAAGCAAGCGGGCAGCGGGAAGCAAAGAACTGGAGACACGGAGGGAAAGGTGGCTAAACAACGGAGAAGAGAGGAGCATTGAGGAGCTCGGGGACTGGAGACCTGGGAGGCTGGGGAAGAAAGAGACCAGGAACCGTGGGAGCCAGAGGCGGCGGTTCAGGGGCCGGTGAGACGGACAGGCTGAGCAATTGGATGTGGGAGGGGTGGGGGCAGGGAGATGCGGAGGTGAGATCAGAGTACGGGGAGACGGGATGGAGCCCGAACGGCGGGGGGCTAGGGGACCACTGCGTGGCGAACAGGAGGTAGAGCGCTGGTCTACCCGAACGGCGGGGGCGCGGGGTCTGGAGGCGAGGGTGGCGAGGCGCGGGTGGGGGCCGGGGTGTGTCTGGGTCCGGGAGCTGCCCGACGTGCTGACCAGGAAGCTGTCCGCAGTGCTGATTTTGAAGCGTAGACTAACCAGCGCTATCCGAGTTGCCGGGTTTGGGGCTGCCCACTGGACCAGAGCCCGCATCTTGCCTAGATTTGGGGGAGCTGTACCCTCAGTTGAATCCAGAGGCGTAATATCCAGGTGCAGAATCCGGAGGAGCTGGAATCTGAGGCGTTGGCCTCGGGGTTGGTCGGGGCGCTGGATCTCTGATGCTTTCCAATATGCAATTCTGATGTGCTGTAAGTTACACCGAAATCGGGAAGCTGTCAGCGGTCCTGCCCATTGTCGCTGACGCGTCTGGGACCAACACTCTTAAAGGCCTCACCTTGGAGCCCCACCCCCTTGCTTAAGCTCCAGATGAGGAATCTTCCAAGATTTGGGGATGACCTGGGCTCCTGTCTCTGAGTTGCTGCTGTGCCATCCAAACCAGTGCTTCCTGGGACTGATGCTGAGAGCGGAATCCAGACTGCTGGTCAGATGCCTCCTGGGAGAAGAAAGTGACTTCAAGCCTCTCTGGTATAGAAGGGGCCATGGCTTTATATATTAAAGGAACCCTGACAGTCTTCCAAAAGGCAGTAGAGGTGACAGCCCCTGGGAAAGGGGCTGGCTGAGGAGATGAGAGGTTTTTATCTCTGTTGCTGCCGGCAGGGTCTCTCTACTTCGTTTTCCCCAGAGGCCTTGGGAGTCAAACTAAAAAGGTTCAAGTCTTTTCCATCCCTGGTGACCCCAGACCTCAGAAGAACCCCCAAGTATGAGTGAATTCAGGGATGTATACAGGAATCCTTTGATATGCTCACTTTCTCCCTCTTCTCGACACTCAGTTATAATTTAGGGAACCTGGGAAGGAGGGGGGGATCACTGATCCCCCATTTAAAAGCCAGTCTTATGGTACTTGTCATGGATTCTATGCCAGGCTGAATAATGACTCCCCAAATATTTCCATATCCTAATCCCCAGAATCTGTGTATATTATCATAAATGGCAATAGACTTTGCAGATGTGGTTAAGGATCTTGAGTTGGAGAGATTACCCTGGATTATATGGGTGGCCCGGTTGTCATCACAATGGTCTTTATAAGAGGGACACAGGGGCAGTCAGAATCAGAGGAGAAGGCAATGTGATGACAGAAGCAGAGATTGGAATGGTGTGTTTTGAAGATGGAGGAAGGGGCCACAGGCCAAGGAATCCAGGTGTGGCCACTAGAAGCTGAAGAAGGTAAGGAAATGGATTCTCCCCGTTGAGCCTCCAGTGTTGCCGACACCCTCACTTTAGACCAGTGAGACCGATTTTCAACTTCTGACACCCAGAACTGTAAGAGAATAAAGTTTTGTTGTTTTAAGCCACTGTTTGTGGTAATTTGTCACAGCAGCCACAGGAAACTAATACAGGCTCCCTCCCTAATCATCGTGGCTACCTTTATTTAGACTAGAGCTACTCACACTTCCTCGTGGGGAGGTATGGAGTGGAAAACCCGTGTCTGTGTCCTTCACCACATTCTCTGTTTCCTCAGTTAGCATTTTTTTTTTTTTTTTTGGCCGTGCTGTGAGGCTTAGTTGCCCCACCAGGAATTGAACCTGGGCCCTTGGCAGTGAAAACACAGAGTCCTAACCACTGGACCGCCAGGGAATTCCCTCCATTAGCAAATTTAAAGTGAACTCGCCAAAGAATCTCATACTCCTGAACTTCTGGCTTTCTGACACTTCTGTTCTCCCCTCTCTCTAGTCACCCTCCTGGATTCCAAAGCCTCCCAGGCTGATCTGGGCTGGACTGCACTGCCGAGTAATGGGGTAAGTGTAAACCTTTCCTTCCCTGTCCTAAGGAGCCTCTGGTGGTCCAGGATTCAGTCCCTTTATCTCCCCATGGTTACATCAGATCGAAATGGTCCTCAGAGCATGTGGTCTCCAGCAGCCCTGGCTTCAAGCCAGAGTGACCTATTAGAAAACGTTGAGTCTTCAGTCAGACAGAAAAAGCAAGAAGACAACTGACTGTGTCTAGGAACAGAAACGTGGCATCTGGATGGAGCCAGTGCTGGAAGGTGCCTTGCACCCAATAGATCCAGCAAACAGTGCTGTTGATTGATAGATTGGCAGAACAAGCAAGACTTGGAATACTAAAAGAGGCTTGGAAACTTGCGGTAGTGGTGGGGAGATGTGGCAGTGTGACAGCAGTTTGGTGTTGTGGGAAGGCACTGGTGGAGAGCCAGGAGACTCCTTTCCTAGCCCTGCTACTAACCCGACGTGTATATCCACTCAAGTCACCATTCTCTGGAGCCTCAGTTTCCCCGTCAGTTGGACTCAGTTGTCTCCAACGTTTCTCCCAGCTCTGCGTCTTATAATTTCAGGGTTGTGTATAGAGAAGGAGGGGAGAAGAGAATGCCAAATGATGGGGAAAGGGGGTTTCAGTCCGAGTCACCGCCAGGGCTCGACCTCTTGGGGGCGCCTTGGCTCTGAGCTGCCCACATCTTTGTTCTCCTCCCCAGTGGGAGGAGATCAGCGGCGTGGACGAGCACGACCGTCCCATCCGCACCTACCAGGTGTGCAACGTGCTGGAGCCCAACCAGGACAACTGGTTGCAGACTGGCTGGATCAGCCGCGGGCGCGGGCAGCGCATCTTCGTGGAGCTGCAGTTCACACTGCGCGACTGCAGCAGCATCCCTGGAGCCGCCGGCACTTGCAAGGAGACTTTCAACGTCTACTATCTGGAAACCGAGGCCGATCTGGGCCGTGGGCATCCCCGCCCAGGCGGCAGCCGGCCCCGCAAGATCGACACGATCGCGGCGGACGAGAGCTTCACGCAGGGCGACCTGGGCGAGCGCAAGATGAAGCTGAACACAGAGGTGCGAGAGATCGGTCCGCTGAGCCGGCGGGGTTTCCACCTGGCCTTCCAGGACGTGGGCGCATGCGTGGCGCTGGTCTCTGTGCGCGTCTACTACAAGCAGTGCCGCGCTATAGTGCGGGGTCTGGCGGCGTTCCCAGCCACCGCAGCCGAGAGCGCATTCTCCACGCTGGTGGAGGTGACCGGAACATGCGTGGCGCACTCAGAAGGGGAGCCCGGCAGCCCCCCGCGCATGCACTGCGGCGCCGATGGTGAGTGGCTTGTGCCCGTGGGCCGCTGCAGCTGCAGTGCGGGATTCCAGGAACGTGGTGACATCTGTGAAGGTATCCAGCGCACTGGGGGGTGTGGTGTGGGAGTGCAGCGCGCAGGTGGCAGTTGGGAGAGAGAGTGTCCTAGATGAAAGAGGCAGGGTGGGGAGTGGGGAAGCCACGGGATGTGGAGCCGGGAGTCCAGACATTTTGCGGTGCTTCCAGTGGGTCCAGCCAGAATCGGTGGGTGAAGTTAATGGGAGGTGAATTTGACTCCATATAAGGGGGCATCAGGACCTATATCTTAGGCACCATGATAAGCACCTCACACGGGCCTTCTCATTCATTCACAGCAATAAAGTCATCATTATTCCTGTTTTGCAGCTGAGGAAACAGAGGCTCAGAGAGATTAACACCTCACTTGCACTTAGGAAGTGGGGAACTGGGATTTGAATCCAGATTTGCCCAACTCTCCACTTCTTTCTACTACGCCATGCTGCCTCCCCTGTGCATAAGGAGGAATGTTACAGTAGGCCAACTCTATTAGCTAGGGGCTAGTGGAGTTGCTTGCATTATACGGAGTGAGCTCCCTGTCACCGACAATATGCAAGTCAGAGGCTGGCAGGGGGATTCTTTTTTAATTTTCTTTAAATTAATCAATTAATTTATTTTTGGCTGCATTGGGTCTTTGTTGCTGCGCTTGGGCTTTCTTTAGTTGCAGTGAGCAGGCGCTACTCTTCGTTGCAGTGCGCGGGCCTCTCACTGCGGTGGCCTCTCCCACTGCGGAGCATGGGCTCCAGGCTCGCGGGCTTCAGTAGTTGTGGCTCATGGGCTCCAGAGCGCAGGCCCAGCAGTCGTGGTGCACGGGCCTGGTTGCTCTGCGGCATGTGGCATCTTCCCAGACCAGGGCTCAAACTCGTGTCCTCTGCACTGGCAGGCAGACTCGTAACCACTGCACCACCAGGGAAGCCCAAGCAGGGGGATTCTTGAGCTGGAGAGAGAGACTGGGAGGTTGCACTGGATGACTACTAAGATCCCACCCAACTCTCTGAACTAGAATCACTGCACCCCCTGGGGCAGAGCCTCCATGTTGGGGGTTCTTTTGGACTCTCTGGTCTGTGGGGCACCAGGAACAGATCTCTCCTTCTCTCTCCTATCTGCATCTGGAGGACTGAACGGACTGGGGTAGAGAACACAGGACGTGGATGGACATATCAAATTGACGGTGTCCATGGTACGTTCAAGTGGAGGTAGCTAGAAAGTGGGTCTGGAGCTCAGCAACAGAGAGATAGATGCGACTTGAAGCTACGGGTGTGGTTGGGACAGACCAGGGAGAATGTGTGGGGTATGAAGCAAGAGGGCCAATGATGAACTCTCACAGAACAGCACTATACGAGGGGAAATGGAAGAAATGGAGGCCGTAAAAAAGACTGCAAGGCAGTGATCAGAGCCTGGGGGAGAGTGTGATTTCATGGCAGCCAAGGGCGATGGAGGTACCCAGGGACGAATGGCCTGCAGTGTTGGTGAGCAGTCAGATAAGGCGAGGATTGGCCAGTGTCTGCCTGGTGGCCCTGGTAAGAGCAGTGTCAGCTGAGTGATGGAGAGAGCAACCAGCTGCAGTGGGTTGAAGGACGAAGGCAGCTGAGGAGCTAGAGTCGGGGACCGTAAACACTCTCTGGAGGCTGTGTTTGAAAGGGGAGGAGAGGGCCTGGTGTCTTGAGGAGGACATTCGGTGGAGAGAGAATTTTTACTGTAGATGTGAGCCTTGTTTACACATGAGGGAGGAGCCAGTGGGGTACCAAGTGGGGGGTGGTGGGAGCAGTAGGCCTCGGGGGAAGAAGTATTTTATTACCGATGTGGATCAGAATTGCTGACACATGCTGCTAACAAAAAGCAGACCACGTTTTAGTCAGTTTCATTGTTTTTAAATACTCTACAGACAGTGCCCTACTGCCTGCACCCTAAATGGACTGCTTTTATGGCTCCGCTCCCTGTACCGTAACCGGGAAGAGCTAGTAGAGAAGGGAATTACCAGCTGATGGCCTCTCTTCCTGCTGTGAGGTAGGAGAGGGGCATCTGTACCAGTGTACAGTAGAATCCTGGTCTGCCTTATTCACTGCTGTAGCTTCAGAGCCTAGAACAGCACCTGGCTCATATTCGATGCTAAAAAATTGTTGAATGACTGGATCAGGTGTTGGAGGAGGGGGTTTGGATACACACTCTGGGCAATGAGAGGGACACACACACACACACCCAGGAACCCAATCCCACTTCTGACTTTGGCTGAGACCAGCCAAAGGCCATTTGTAATGGCATCAACTCTGCCTTGGGGAGTATGGAGGTGGGGAGGATGCCAGGAAAAGCTTCACAAGGGAGGTGTTATTTTGAACTAGGATTTGGAGGAACATAGCAGTTCACCAGAAGAGAAGGGGTGTAAGATTACAGGACAAGATCCAGAGGTGTGAAAGGAAAAGTTCAGTACGGATGGATGGGGTGGCTGGCATTGGGGAGCTGTGGGAGGGTTTCAAGAAGGGAAGGAAATGGGCTTCCCTGCTGGCGCAGTGGTTGAGAGTCCGCCTGCCGATGCAGGGGACACGGGTTCGTGCCCTGGTCTGGGAAGATCCCACATGCCGCGGAGCGGCTGGGCCCGTGAGCCATGGCCGCTGAGCCTGCGCGTCCGGAGCCTGTGCTCCGCAACGGGAGAGGCCACAACAGTGAGAGGCCCGCGTACCGCAAAAAAAAAAAAAAAAAAAAAGGGAAGGAAACGATCAGATTTATATTTAGAAAGGGAAGACCCTGCAAGTGCCTTCTGCAGCTATTATAGAGCCTCTCTAAAGGCAGATGGATGTGGAGGCTTCTCTTTTTAGTGACCGTGACTCTTGTTCCTTCTCTCCCAGCCACCAGAGGAATTACTGAAAGACTTGGGGTTTCCCTTGGGGGAAACATCAGAGTGTATGACTCATGTCTTCAAATCTCTGTAGGACTGCCCTGGAGCAGAGGGACCCAAGCAGACATGCTAAGCTCTACAGGGCACATCAATCCTCTGCAATGAGGTGGCATGAGGGGGGTTACAGGCAGGGAGGCTGCTTTGGATTCAACATAAAGGAAGCACTTTCTAACTGCCAGCATTGTTCAGCAGAGGCGGCCTCAGAGGGAGGTTGGCTCCCCATTACCAAGTATCTGAGCAAAGACTGTGGCTACTGCTAGGAAAGCTGCTGGAGGGTGGGCCAGTGGGAGTTGAACTAGACAACCCCTGAAATTCTGACTCCGAAGGAGGCAGGGGCCGGGAGTCAGGAGTCACTTCCTGAGTCTGCCCCTCAATACAACCTCTTTTAAGCAGAGCCTCTCCAAGTAGAAATAAGCAATGCTGTCTCTGATGGGACCACCCATCTCTAGGACCCCAGACACCCACATACACACGGAGAAAAGGAGCCTCCCACATTCTTTCCCTCCTGCGGTGAGGACCCTACCCCCCCACCCCGCTCCTGCTCCTGCAAACAGATCCCTCTCCTATTTCACAATGGAGGTGGGAAGGCCATGCTTATTATTCTCATTTGACTGACAGTTTCTCAAGGCCAGAGAGGCACAGGAAGTGGCAGAGCTAACACCGGAACCCAGGTCTCCTGAGTCCCAGCCCAGGTGGCTGTTGCCCACTAGACCACAATGTTAGCTAGCTCTGTGCTTCATTCTGAAGGCAGACTTCCAAAGCCTCCTGGGCTTTGGAGACCCTGCCCAAAGCTGCCCAAAGCCCAGGACTCTAGGCAACATGGACGCCCCTCCCCCGCAAACCTAAGCCTTCCAGATAATGGGAACCCTCAGCCCTCTGCCCTCTCCTCCCAGACAGGGAAAGTTCTGAAAGTTCTTCCCAAGTGCTATAGTCTGCATCCCTTCTGTACTATGTCTTCTTGGGGCTGGAGAGCAGCCAGCCTTCCACAAGCAGCTAAACCAGAGGAGAGGGATAGAGAAGTCCTGGCGGGGGCAGGGAACCAGGTGAGGACCACCCTAGCTCTGAGAGGAGGGCCAAGAGCCATTGCTTCCCTCCCTGGCCCAGCTGGTGAGGAATATTTTAAAGTGGGTGCTTAGCTGTTTCCACTTCAGGCCTGAGTTGGAGGAAGAGTGATTACTACCATTATTGTACAACTGTTGTCTGTACTGGGCTAGGCAGTTTGCATGTTTTATCTCAATCTTCCAAGCACCTTTTTGAGGTAGGTATTCTATACAAGGCTCAGAGAGGTCACCAACTTGCCCAAGGCCACACAGCAAATAAGTGGTGTGACTCAGCTGCAAACCCAGGTTGTTTAGATATAAAAGCCTTTGCTCTCAACCACTGACTTCTGGGGGAGGTGAGAGAAGCAAAGTAACTGAGGAGGTGCCAAGGCTAGAACCAGGGAACTTTCACTGTCCCTCTCCTCTCTCCACCTGGCTGGCTCCACTTTCAAATGGGAACCAAGTGCGTCAGTAGAGGATTTATGATGCATTAGCCCCCAAATAGTGGAGGTGGGAGGAAGCTCTGACAAGTGTGTGTGTTTGTGTGTGTCAGAGTTTTTGTCTCTGTAACTGGGAGTGTGCGGGTGTCTGTCCTTGGGTAACTGTGGGACACCCCGTCGAGGCCTCTCTCTTCTGTCCTCACATCAAAACCGGAAAGTTTGGTTCCTTTTCTCCCAGTGGGCGTTAGGGCAGTGTGGTGTGGTCTCTCAAACCAGTCGGCTTTGGCTGGAATCCCTCCACTCACTAGCTGTGGGACATTGGGCAAGTTACTTAGCTTCTCTGAGCCTTAGCTCCCCCATTTAAAAAAGGAGGATAAAGCACATACCTCACAGGTTATGAGCATTTAATGAATTACTAAAAGAGAAACATTGCAGTGTCTGCACGTTAAGCGCTTACTAAGGGTTAAGTAATACTGCGTTGTTCAGTCAAGAGCTGCCACCCCCGGGGCGGTGCTGGAGTAGCTGAGACCCCCGCCCCCCACTTCCCCATCACAATTCGAGGAGATAAGGCCCACCACAGTGGGGGCAGTCAGGAAAGCGTGTGGGGGGGAGCCAGAAGCTGTGGCGGAGCCCCCTCCTCACGCAGTTCCTCCCCGCAGCCTGTCCCCCAGGGTTTTACAAGGTGTCCCCGCGGCGGCCCCTTTGCTCGCCGTGCCCGGAGCACAGCCGGGCCCTGGAAAACGCGTCCACGTTCTGCGTGTGCCAGGACAGCTACGCGCGCTCGCCCAGCGACCCGCCCTCGGCGTCCTGCACCCGTGAGTCCCCCTCCTGAATGCCTTCCGGATGGTGGGTGGGGCGGTCCATAAGGGCGTAATCGAGGCGTTGTGAGGGCAGGGGTTCCACACTCGGGGGCGCCAGGGCGCACGTGGGGGCCAGCGACCCAGACGGCAGAGTGGAGGGAGGGGAGCCTGGGGCGGTGATGGGGGCCAGGGCCCGGGTTTGGAAGAAGCAGGACAACAGAGACAGTCCAGACGGAGGGATGAGGTTAGGCTTGTTGGGGGATCACCGTGTGCGCCGCCTACAACCATCCCCGCCCTCACCTCTCCCAACTTTCCAGCCAGGCGGGGGACTCCCGCCCCTCACACTCTGCTGGGTCCCCAGATCCCCAACCTCATCCCCTCACCGACATCCTCCCACCCCATCACTGACCGCGCCCCACTCCCACATCCCGCCCCTCACTGCTCCACGCCCCCGTCCCTCCCCCTCACTGCCCCCGCCCCCATCCCGCCCTTCCTCCCCCCGCCCCTGACGGCGCCCGCCTCTGTGCCCACAGGGCCGCCGTCGGCGCCGCGGGACTTGCAGTACAGCTTGAGCCGCTCGCCGCTGGCGCTGCGGCTGCGCTGGCTGCCTCCGGCCGACTCGGGCGGCCGCTCGGACGTCACCTACTCGCTGCTGTGCCTGCGCTGCGGCCGCGAGGGCCCGGCGGGCGCGTGCGAGCCGTGCGGGCCGCGCGTGGCCTTCGTGCCGCGCCAGGCAGGGCTGCGGGAGCGCGCCGCCACACTGCTGCATCTGCGGCCCGGCGCGCGCTACACCGTGCGCGTAGCCGCGCTCAACGGAGTGTCGGGTCCGGAGGCCGCCGCGGGAACCACCTACGCGCAGGTCACCGTCTCCACCGGCGCCGGGGGTAAGGCCTTCCGCACCCCGCGCGCCCGCCCGTCCAGCCCACCGCGAGCACCCCCACAGCCCACAGCCACCCCGGATAAACTGCGATCGCTGGTCTTAAACAAAAATCCCCGACCCTGGCGACCCCCCATCGAGGTCAGCCCCCTTCCCGAAGGCCACGGAGGAGAGATTGAGGATACAGGTGACTCTGTGCCTCTGGGCCAGAGAGGTTATGAGGTTAGTGATTCTGCGGGAGCCAGTGCGTGCTCCTTCTCCTGACCTCGCGGAAAGCCTATGCCCCACATCCAACTCTGCAGTTGCCTTGCCTCTCGTTTCGCGGCAAAAGGGGTGGAAGGTTGCTCAATCTTTTGCCCTCCCTTCTCAAAAATTTCAGTGGGAACCAGAATCATACCTCCTTCTTTCCTGTCTTAGAAAGAGGGACCCTGTGTGTATCCCTCTGACTTCGTCCCTCGGCCTCTGCAAGGGTTTTGCTGCATTGTCACCCTATTTCATAGTCCTGGAAAAGAGCAAGGAAGCACGGAGGGTCAGACTGTCAGGGGCGATAGAATTCACTGGTCAACACATAAGTCACATTTCGGAGTCTGGAATTGAGATGAATAAATGAAGACCTACAATCCTTTTATACTACATCTTCCTCATTCTTGACATTTACTTTTGATTTGTCTCACTCAGCTTCAAGTAATCCTTCAAGTATCCTTTGCAAGAAAAATAAGAAGATATGTTCCGTTTGTGACTCTGCTTCCCCGTCTGATGGCAGTTGTATTGCAGAATAGTCTGAGGCCAGGGTAATCATTGTTTTGTAGGTGACTTGAATATGAATGTGTACACACATGGATGTTTGTATAATTCTTAGGCTACTGGTGAAAATAAACTTTAACCAATATTGACCTCTTTTCATTGAGTTTGGCTAGAACACAGTAAAACTTTGGATCTGCATACCTTTTTTTATTCCTGGAAAATTTTTTTTTCAGTTTTTATTTCCAGTTATTACTTTGACTAGAACTTCTGATAACTCTGATTTCTCTCTTAAGACTCTTTCTAAACCTTGAGTTGTACGTCCATTTTCTGATTCTCAAATCTTGTCGTTTCCTTTATCATTTTCAGCCCTTAATCCATTTCCTCTGCCTTTTGGGAGTGATTTCCCAACTTGCCCGATTTTCTGGAACAACAGTTTTGTTTTTGTTTTTTACTATCTCTATTATGATTTAACATTTGCTATTGCATTTATATTTTAAAAATTTCAGAATAGAAAAAGAAAATGAGCACCCATAATCCTATTATCCAGAGATATACAACTACTAATATCTTGGAGTATATCCTTCCACATTTTTTTCTATTTCTATATCCATACCTAGAACTATCTACTATAAAACCCCTTTTGTATAATATACGTAACACAAATTTTTATCTGGTATTTCCTGATAATAATCCTGTTTTGATATAGATGGATTTAAAAATCATGTTAAGGAAATACTCTTCTGTTTCCATTTTGTTAATAAAAATACTTTCACTGATTGAGTGCTGCTCTGTGTTTGGCACTGTGCAATATGATTTTCTACATTAATTCATTTAAATCGAATGATAATCATCTTTCAGATGGTGAAACTGAAGTCTGAGAGGCCAAGTGAATTATCCAAAGTCAGCCAGCTAGTAGTCGAGACCCATCTTTGAGCTCAGGTCTGTCTAATACCAAAGCCCTGCTTTTAGCCCCTTGGCCATATAATGCTTTCACTTTTTACTGAACTTTTCAGAAAAATCAGCAATGGATGTTAATTTTACAAAATGCTTCTTGAGCATCTTTCAAGATGACCACGATTTTTTCTCTTTGACCTTTCGATACGATGAATTCTATTAATGGATTTTTTCAGTGTGAGTTCTTTTTGCCTTCCTAGATTATACCCTACTGCCGATGACTGTATTATTCTTATAATATTTGCTGAATTAATTTGCTTATATTTTAATATTTTTTCCATCTACCTTTATAAGAGAGAGTAGTTTTTTTTTTTTTTAATTTATTTATTTATGGCTGTGTTGGGTCTTCGTTTCTGTGCGAGGGCTTTCTCTAGTTGTGGCAAGCGGGGGCCACTCCTCACAGCGGTGCGCGGGCCCCTCACTATCGCGGCCTCTCCCGTTGCGGAGCACAGGCTCCAGATGCGCAGGCTTAGCAACTGTGGCTCACGGGCCCAGCCGCTCCGCGGCATGCGGGATCCCCCCAGACCAGGTCCCGGACCCGTGTCCCCTGCACCGGCAGGCAGACTCTCAACCACTGCGCCACCAGGGAAGCCCCCGAGAGTAGTTTTTTTTTTAATTATTGTGTTCTTTGTTAAGTTTTAGCATTTTGGGCTGGCTTTGAAAAAGGCATCAGGAATAATCTCTTCTTTTTCTCTGTTCCGGAACAGTTTAAATAGCATAATTATCATTCTTTGAAGGCATGCAAAACTGCCTGGGAAACTGTACCTTGCTGATGTTCGCAATCTTATCTATAACTTCTTCTTGAATCAGTTTTGTTAATCTGTACTTTCATAGAAAATCTTTTGATGATCTTTTTCTAATTTATTAGCCCAGAAACGCTTATTTAAAAACTTTCCATAGTATCTGGAGTTAACTCTTACTTTCTCTTTCTTCATATTGTGTCCTGTGATGTCTTTTTTAAAATTATTCTGGTCAGAAGTTTATTTTATTGGTTATGACAAATAACCAACTCTTGAACTTATCAATTCCACTGCTCTTTACTTTTGTCACTTATTTTGTGATTTTATCTTTATTACTACCATCCTCCTGATTTCCTGAAGTCTTTTTCTAGGTGAGCTCAGTGCTTAGTTGTTTTTTTTTAAATACTTATTTATGTATTTGCCTGTGCCAGGTCTTAGTTACAGCACGTGGGATCTTTGTTGCTGCAGGCAGGATCTTCATTGCAGCATGCGGGCTTAGTTGCAGCATGCAGGATCTTTAGTTGTGGCATGCATGTGGGATCTAGTTCCCTGACCAGGGATCGAACCCTGCATTGGGAGCACAGAGTCTTTTTTTTTTTTTTTTTTTTGAGCACAGAGTCTTAACTGCTGGACCACCAGCGAAGTCCCAGTGCTTAGTTTTTATATTATAGTTTTAATATTTTAAGCCTATGAAATTTCCTCTAAGAATAGCTTTGGTCACATCCAGTATGTTTTTATACATAATATATCACATTGTTCATATTGTCATTTTCTTTGTAGATATAATTCACATACCATAAAATTTCACTTACCTTTTAAAGTGTACAATTCAGTCATTTTTCCTAGCAGCTATCACAAACTCTCTAATTCCAGAACATTTTCATCATCCCCCAAAGAAACCCATTAACAGTCACTTCCCATTCCTCCCACCCCCTCCAGCCCCTAATAACTGCTAATCTACTCTCTGTTTCTATGGATTGGCCTATTCTGGGCATTTTATATACATGGAATTATATATGTGGACTTTTATGTCTATCTTTTTTCACTTAGCATAATGTTTTCACGGTTTGTCCATGTTGTAATATGTATAAGTATGCCATTCCTTTTATGGCTGACTAATGTTCCATTGTATGGATATACCACAATTTTGTGTATTCATTCATCAGTTTATGGACTTTGGACTGTTTCTGCTTTTTGGCTATTAGAGTAATGGTGCTATGAACATTCATGTACAAGTTTTTGCGGAAACAGGTTTTCAGTCCTCTTGGGTATATACTTAGGAGTGGAATTGCTAGGTCATATGATGTCATAGACTGAATTGTCTCTCCCAGGTTCATATGTTGAAGCCTTAATCCCCAGTGTGACTGTATTTGGAGATAGGGCCTTTAAGGAAATAATTAAGGTTAATGAGATCATAAGGGTGAGGCCCTAATCCCAAGGACTAGTGTCCTTACAAGAAGAGGAACAGACACCAGAACTCATTTGCTCTCTTTGTGCATACACAGAGGAAAAGACAGGTGAGGACACAGCAAGAAGATGGCTGTCTGCAAGTCAGGAAGAGAGCCCTCACTAGAATACAAACATGAATCTGCAAGCATCGTCTGGGATTTCTAGCCTTTAGAACTGTGAGAAAATACATTTTTGTTGTTTAAGCCACCCAGTCTACAGTATCTTGTTATGGCAGCCTGAGCTGACCAATACATATGGAAACTTTTTTATCTTTTTGAGGAGCTGCTGAACTTTTTGAGGAATTGCCAGACTGTCTTCCAAAGCAACTCTACCTTTTTACATTCCCACCAGCAAATGTACAAGGCTTCCAGTTTCTCCACCTTCTCACCAACACTTGTTTGTCTTGCTGATTTTAGCCATCCTAGTGGATATGAAATGGTATCTCACTGCAGTTTCAGTTTACATTTCCATAATGACTAATGATGTTGAACCTCTTTTCATGTGCTGGGTTTTCTTTTTGTCATTGAGTTATAAGAGGTTTTTTGTCTAATCTGTATATTCTGTATACCTTTGTATTACTTTCCTAGGGCTGCTAAAACAAAGTACCCACAATTAGATGGCTTAAAACAAAAGAAATTTCTTGTCTCACACTTCTGGAAGCTAGAAGTTTGAAATCAAGGTGTCAGCTGGGCCATGCTTTCTCTGCTCTAGCCTCTGGTGTTTGCTGGCAGTCCTTGGCCTTCCGTGGTTTGTAGATGCATCACTCCAGTCACATGGCCCTCTTTTGCCTGTGTGTCTCCACATCATCTTCTCTCTATGAGAGTCCCTCTCTGTGTCTAAATTTCCCCCATTCAGAAGAACACCAGTCACATTGGATTAGGGCCCACCCAGATGACTTCATGTTGACTTGATTACCTCTGTGAAGACCATATTTCCAAGTAAAGTCATATTCTAGAGGTACTGGGGGTTAGGACTTCAAAATATCTTTTTGGAGGGACACAGTTCAACACATAATGACCATTATGATACATGGTTTGCTAATATTTTCTCCTACTCTGTGGGTTGCCACTCACTTTTTTTTCCAAAGGAGATGTAATTGACATATAACATGATATTAATT